GTCCGAGTTCACAGGACTCTACTGTAAACTAACCTAACTGTTATTAAGTGTTTATTAGGTAAATGCCCCCTGTGGCCATCTAGTGAAATGCAGTCTAACCCTAGCATCAACAACCCGGCTCTAAAAAAGCTCACTCGCTGAGAAAATGAGTAAGCAGAATATTGTGTCATATTTCATTACCTATAGAAATCAAGTGTTTAAACTGAGGAAATCATTTCACCATTTTAATACAAATATCAGATATATTTGAATTGTCTCCAAAAAGTCTGGTGTTTAGCAGCCAATCAGGTGAGCGGGCAGCAGGTCAGTCTCATGACTGGGTATAAAAAGAGCTTCTCTTCTGCTGTACAGACGTGTCTATATCCTGCACACCTGAGTGTCAGTGTAGTGATACCAAAGCTCATCTGGGCATGTGTGGCTAACTTACAGCTAGCCGGCTAGCCTTAGCGTGCTCGAAGTATGAACTTCATAGAAAAGCAGATCACCTGACAGAGACACAGGTGAGCTAATGTGACACAGGTGGACGTCTGCTGCATCGGTCTGCAGATCAATCGACCCTGACTGACCACGAGCTTCTTGTATTTCAGTCCTTCTCAAACTGTGAAACTTTATTCACACCTGCAGAAACATCTGTGCGCACACAAACTGAACCAGATGTTCTCATTCCTCCACCTCGCTGTCACATAATGTCAGCAGTCACATGACCACAATAACCTCACAGCAGCCCAGGAGGCTCCAACAGCACAAACGCAGCCGAGGTCCATTTCAGGAGAAGCTAGCAGACAGCAACAAGAGCCGCCTGTGTCCCATCCACCTGTCAGTCAGAGGCCACGCCCCCAATAATGCAATGAGGCTGTAAAGTGACTCAGTTGGATTGCTACTGATTAGTGAAAATTGTGGGTGGGGTTAAGCGTGCCAGCTCACCCATTTGTTGTTTAATCTTTCTGATCAATGAAATCAATAAATGATGATCAGTTATTAAAATCCATGATCAGTAAAGTATGATACTCGAGTATGCTTCAGACAGTACTTTTACTCTGAAAACACATTCTGACAGTACTTACTGCAGTACATGTAGTACTGCCAGCACTTTAACTTGTAGAAGTTTTAAAAGAAAAAGTATCCGGATGGTTTCAGTAAACTTTGATTTAAACCCTCGCGCGCGTGCGGGTCTCACCTTCGTCCAGGAGCCTCTCCAGGTGCTGGAAGATTCCGCAGAAGTTCGGCAGACCGCTCATCAGCTTCTTGTCGTTCATGAGTTGCATCAGGTAATCCGGACCGGGTCTGGGCTTCTCCTTCCCCTCCATCCTCCCCACCGCGACCCGCCGAACTACACGGATCCGGACCGCAGCGGACTGCACGGCATCAGCATGAATCCAGACCCGCTCCAGACCCGCTCCAGACCCGGAGGCGCCTTGAGTCCCGCACGCTCGGCTCCGAGTCCGGGTTTAACGCTCCAGCTGCTTCGGCTTTGCCCGGCTCTGAGCCTCCGCTCCGCGCAGAACAGCGCTGTGTGTCGGCCAGCAGCGGCTCTGAGCCTCCGCCCGGTGCGGCGAGCACACGGGGAGGGGGGGGGGCTTCAAAATAAAGCTGTAACTAACCAACTAACTCACTAACTAACTAACTCACTAACTAACTAACTCACTAACTAACTAACGTGTGTGGTATTTTGTTCCCAGGCGTCACTGTCAATAAAGCTGCTCCGTTTGAACGCGTCCCTCTAAATAGTTTAATTGGTTTTAATGGTTTCTGAGTTTTTCTTCACATGGAAATGAGTCTGTCCGCCTCCTCCTCTTCCTCTCCCTCTTCATCACCCGCCTCCTCTCCAGAGCCTGGCACTCACAGAAGAACAAAGGAGGGGAAAACAAAAACTTTTCTTCTTTGTGAGTTTGGCTGAAAACCGGTTTGGGTGATGAAGAGCAGGAGGGAAATGAAGAGGAGAAGCGTGATGAAGAGGAGGAGGTGCAGCTGCTCCTCAGAGCAGCTCATGGAGAGTTTAAGGGTTGATCTGTCACCTCCATGAGGAGGTGTTTACTTCCTGTAATTAAGGCATCCTCACCGTCGTGCTCACCTGTACACCTGAGGGTTTCCAACTCCAGGCCTGCAGCTTTTTTAGGGTCAGCACAAATGAATCAGCTGATGAGTTCGTTACCAGCCGCTGGAGAACTTCAAGACATGTTGAGGAGGTCATTTAGCCCTTTAAATCAGCTGTGTTGGATCATAAACACATCCCTCGAGGCCTGGAGTTGGACACCTGTGCTCTCCCAGCTCTGAGTTACTGAAAGTAGTTTTTCCCTGCCCTCCCTTTCCTGATGTGGCCCAAAGGCCCTTTTGTTGAGGGTTTCTGTGTGTGTGGCGTCCTGCCTGTGCTCCTCAACAAGAATATTTAACTTTTAATCACAGTTCTGCTAAATTAAAGGATCTTTCTTGCATCTGTCACATGATGATTAACCAGTGATCGCCCCTGACGGCAGAGCGTGCTGGATACGAGTGGGGAACCAGCTCGCAAAGAGCCCCGACATGTTTTAACACTTGAGCTGTGAGAAACAGGAAGTAACTGGGAGACGCAGACTGAGGCAACAGAAACCAGTAAGTAGGTGAATAGCCGACACTGTAGTCTACAAAACACAGGAGTGTTAGCTTATCATGGACACGTGGGTCAGTTGTTCTGTGGAAACATGGTGCCGGTACATTACCTGTCCTTTGTTACCTGCACACGTGTCCTGGTCATTAGCTGCTAGCTAACTGTGTAAGGCTGTCGTGCAGCTCTGTCACCATCTTATCGAGTGATATCTCACATGAGAGGAGAGAGCCACGCGCAGATTTTCATTATTTTAATATGATGCTCTACGAGGTTACGATGCCAGAAAGTTCCTCAAAATCAGCACAGATAAAATCTCAGAATTTTATAGAAGCCAAACATTTCAGCAGATTTTGCTCCGAGCACGTGTAAATATCATGAAGCTGCTCAGTGAGGGCGTGCAGCCTGAGCTGAGCCTGCACAGACAGAAAGTCACCGTTTTGGTTTTAGGACGTCGTTCAGCTGGTGGAGGTCAGTCGGGCAAACAAGCCCATCTGGGGTCAGCTGACAGGGTCACGTGACCAGAGCCCGGACGACCTGTTACGAGAGGAACAATGAAAGTTTTCTCTGACGGACAAACAACAGAGTGATGGTGTGTG